TTCAGGAAGCTCTCCCTTCCAAGTTACATCCACTATATTTCCTCTCTGCCCTTTGACTAATAATGTTAACAATTTTTTGCTTTATTATTATTAATAATGTAATGTGGAGTAATCTTCGCAAGGTGTTTTTTTAATTAGTAAATAGAGAGGGCGCTCATAATTGAGTTTTGTGACGAGGGTATTTTGGGTATAACATACTTTGGATTGCAAGCCAAGCTGCTGTTGGGGCGCACGCCTTTTGCTGCTGTTGCACCCCCTGACTGCTGTTAAATGCCAGTATTGCCCTCGTGACAACACGACATGGTTCTAGACACTGTGACTGAGGAACTTGTTTGCTAGCTGGTGGGAGTATACCGGGTTCTTTTTACAATGAGCCGGCAGGGACGGAATAATCAGTCACCTTTTTTTTTGTTGTTTATTTTTGTATTTTAAAAATATTTTAAAAAAATTTAATATTTTTTATTTACTTTAAATTAATATATTTTTAATTTTTTAAAATTATTTTAATATACTAATATCAAAAATAATTTTTTAAAAATAAAAAAATAATTAACATAAATTTCGATAAGAAAAACTATTTGAAAAATAATTATAACTATATTCTCAAGTAAATTATAGTATGTTTGAATGGCTTTTAAAAATATATTTGATTTAAAAAATTACTAAATTAATGTTTTTTAATTATTTCAATATATTAATGAATTAAAAATTAAAAATATGTTTTTATTAAAAAATCATAAACACACCGAAAATGTATTTGATTTAAAAAATTACTAAATTAATATTTTTTAATTATTTCGATATATTAATGAATTAAAAATTAAAAAAATGTTTTTATTAAAAAATCATAAACACACCATTAGCCAAAAACCCCAAAACTTAACTTTTCTATAAAAAAAAAAAAAAACAATGTTATAGTTAATTATCATCACGAACATTCAGTTTTTTTTTGATAATAGGATTGAGGAATTATTTTTTTCTGGTATACATTATTTTTTAAAGATATAATTATTTAAAGTAAATTAAAATATTCTAAATACAAAAAAAAACTGTAAATTGGTTTAGATCTTATTTGATAGCGTGATAACAGTTATTTTTTAAATAATTTTTTATTTTAAAATACATGCTAAAAATATTTTTTTATTTTTTAAAAATTATTTTTAATATAAAAAATATTAAAAACAGATTAATTTAAAATAAATAAAAATATTAAATAACTTTTTTTCAACAATATCCATCAATTATCATCGTTTTGCGAGGGTGGATTAATTGAGATTGTACTAATGAAACATCCATTGGACATCAAATACATGCACGCTAGCATTTTCAAAACATCCTCGGGTATTCAAATTGCCAGAACAAAATGATTTTTCCTTTGAAAAATAGTCCTTCAATTCTAATCGTTGTAGCCTCTTTATACCATAAGTTACATCGTTGACCATGATTATACATCATGATCCGAAAAAGGGCATGTTTCTGCGTTGTATAACTTTATAGTTCAATAATTGGAAGTCACACATTTTCTCAGAACATGAGATCAAGCGTCAAATCTCTCTTTCAAATTATAAAAATCACCAGACACCGCCACAGTGTATCGATCATGAGTTATATTATTATTCAAGTGTCCGAGCAACACCGAGGTTTTCAACGACTTCTCTCTAAATAATTGTTGAGTACATCACGAGAAAGAAAAGAAAAGTTGAAAAGGTAAACTTGGAGTGCTGTTATTTCTCTCCCGAGCAAACAAACGAGATTGCAATTTCGTTAGGTAACCTTTGCCCAGTCTACAAAAACCCTGTCCGAGGAGGGACAAAACAATGCAAGTGTCATAGTCCAGGGGTCCTCGACACTAGGATAGGCTAGCTTGTCTTTCCATTCTCGGTCATACTCTGTGTCCTACCATGAGAAATCTGGCGCGCGCGCATCCATCCAAGGTTCTATTTTCACGTGAGAGGAAGATTCAACCATAGGTGTATTAAACAATTCTTCGTAGCTAGGATCGAGGGGAGACGTAATTCAACACGGCCCGTCTAAAAAAGGACAACATATTCAACACGGCTTGAAATGTGAAGACAAAGTAACTGGGCAGAGGTCAGATCGTTTTAGGTTTCGGACTCGTTTCATGTGGCAAGAAATTTCTTTTTCTTCTTTTTTATTCTTAAGGAGAGGGTGGCGTCGAATTTCAAGCCTGTTGATTGAAGGTGTCACAGAGGAAGACAATCTTTTTCAGAGCCAGGAATAAAATATAGCCACATGTCTAGCTTGTAGACTTGCAGTACAAAACTTGTCCAAGCTCCTAAAATTGTCTACCTCCGACTTTCGAGTCCCATTGAACTCCCTCGGCGACGTTCTCGCCGCTCAAACTTGGAGGGTTCTATTAGCTTCGACAATTCCTGGCATGTGCTTTGACCTCGAAATTTTGCTAGCTACTCATTGCCCATTCCACCACTTCCAGGTTCTTTCATTTTTTAAGAAACCTCAAATTAATCCGAAACCTATTCACTAATTCTTAATCGGGTTTCAAACCAATGGGATTTTCAATTTGTTTTTTGTAGACTTTTCACAATCAAGTCCTTCCATACATGTTCATAGATTTATTTTTTTTGGTACCTATGCAATAAGATAATAACGTTTTGAATTTGACTTTTGTCAATTGGAAAAATTGAAAAGTTTAGATGGTATCTAACTGAGAAAAACCTTATACATTAGAAATGAAATTGATAAAATTACTTGCTTTGGATGAAATTGGAAACAAGCAATGTGTTTTGGGATGAAAATGATGTTTTCCCTTCTGCTTTATCTTTTGCGAGCATAAATTATATTTTCGTTCCTTCTTTTTTAAGCAAAAAAACCATCTGGAACCCTTTCCTGATGTTGTTTTTTTCCATCCAAACACGGATGATCAATTTTGCGCCGTATCATCCAAGTTATGTTCATCACGTCACTAGCTAGGATTAGCCCGACAAGGCAAGGAAGCCATGGTGTCAAAGACTTAAATTCCTAAGCGCATTAAATTATATATCAACTAGTAGCTAAATTATTTTTTTATATATTTTTAAATTGTTATCAACTAGTAGCTAAATTATTTTTATATATATTTTTAAATTGTTTCGAGTATTGAGAATAATTTTTTAAAAATAAAGTATTATTAACTACTAAGGTCGTGAACAGGAAAAAAAAAAAGAGGACTTCTCTGTGTGCTTGCGACTGTGGGAGGAAGAAAAATTCAAGTGGAAACATAAAGTTTAATAATTTCTTCGTAACAACGTTTGAATTTGAGTCATGTGTTATTTACTGCCCAAAAGAAATCATAAAAGGGAGTAAAAGCAGGACTTAACTCTTTACTTTCTCATAAAGTTGCTGCATAATAATGGGAAAACAACAGTAGCATACAAGCATCAAAGCAGAATTATGCAATCTGGATTCGAGGAGTTTATACTTTATCAACAGTTTATTTCAGTATGAAATCGGAGAGAGAACTTTACCTTTATTCCCAAAAGGCAAAGCCATGAAAGCACGGGATCTTTTATAGCATTAATTGACACACACACGTATGAATATCTGGAGCTAATCATGATTTAGTCACATTGGTCCCCTTTTATAGCGTTGCTGCATGGTGTATTTGCTCGCCTTTTACTCCCACTATTTGTAGCTAGGCAGGCAGCATATTCTTGCTCCGACTCGCTTCCTTATTTCCTCCAAGCAAGTAGCAATCTGTTTTTCGGACCCGGTAAAGCAAGCAAGCTAGTAATACAACGCGCAGCAGCATTTTCCCCTTTCCTTTTTGCTATTATTAACGGTCCAGGAATCCCTGGAAGGGCTTTAATTCTCTTTTGAAACGGTCCAGATCAAAGGACATAGCAGATATATATAGTTAATTTCCCACATGCTCTCACAGGCATGAACGCAAATAAAGATGGCAGCATAACCCCGAGAGAGTAGCTTCATATCAAGCTGGAGCTTTCTCCTTGCCACTCGCTCTGTCTTTTTTAACATGAAATCTGATCATATAAAGGAACAATTCACTTTGTCGTGGCTCATACCCCCCAAAAGCATCCTGTCTATCTGTCCCGTTAAATGAAGAATATTTTCTCCATGGATTTTTATTTTCATTTCTATCATGACGGAGGGAAGGGAAAGGGGTCGAATTTCAAAAGATTTCATGGCACATGGATCCAACACTTTGGCGTTTCTGGGGTCTAAAGCAAAAGAAGAAAGAGCAGGTAGGGATTGCATTGGGATCTGAAATAAATGAGACACTTTAAGCTTAATGAGGTACGGCAATGATATACTGTCTCGAGAGGTCTTTTCCTTTTATTGTGTACGTGAAGGATATGGTGAGGAGACAAGGCATGTTCAGTCCTGTAATTTTTAAGCTTTTTTCCAGCTGAAATCAATTTGCAAAAGCATCTGCGATCGCCGATCACGTCGCAAGAACGAACTCCATTTAATTACCCTTTTCGGATGTCTGAGCTTTTATTTTTTAAGTGTTTTTTAATTTTAAGTTATATTAAAATAATATTTTTTATTTTTTAAAATTTAAAAACAAACAGAATTTTATATACATCATCAATTCATTATGGATGGAATGTCGAGAGGGTGAAACTTCAAATAATAATAAGAAAACACTGCAGGTTTCCATCTCTCCTTTCTTCGCTGGAAGGGATAGAAGGGGTAAAGTAAGATTTTCATAGATTTCTTAAATGCTTTATTTTTGAGAAATAACAAATAACAATAAAAGATTTAAAGAAAATTATAAATTATTTGAAATAATTTTAACATGGGATCAAGTGATCTAATACTTGATCTATATTCTCATTATTATTTTTTGGTATGATCTAGCTTCACTCATTATTTTTGGGCATGCTACAAGACTGAATTTTTTAATAAATGAAAATGAAAACTAGTTGAGAGATATCACTCGGCTGAAAAAAAAAAAGGAAAAAAAAATATTCGGCCGGTCTTGTACGTTCGTGGCAGGTCAATCACGACATGTGCACTTTAAAAAATGGTGGTCCTCACCTCACGCGCTTCCTTGCATGCAAATTTTCAAATACAGACATGACATCGGGGATACATGCACGGACTCAGCACACGTTAGCCAAGCAAGAATCAATAATTTAAAATGCACGCTGCCGTTTACAGACTATGGGCCTTTAAAATCCAACATGTTTTGGTAACTGGATGATAGATGAATTACCAGGGCCGACATTTGATCTGAGTCCTGCCCTGTAAGAAATAAGAAGAAACATCCAAAGGAGGGGCGCTTATGCCAGTTGGAAGAGGCCTCACCACCGTAGCGAAACCTGACCTGTCCTGATGGTCGACCTGATAAATGATTAATTTGATTAAATTTATTTTTAAATTTTAATTTTATTTAAAATAATATCAATTTTTATTTAAGAAAGATTCATAAATTCATAACCTTGACCTTACTCCGGGTGCGCCTGTGGCTTGTAACCAAAGACAGCGTTGCTGATGTTTGTTTCAAAACAGCAAATACCCAATCCCTGATTCCTTTTCAAAATCTCCACAACCAGGCACTCACTGATTGACCTGATCAGGATCTGCTTATGATAGTAGTACTTAATAAATATATGCCCGGACTACTTTGTCACGAACAATCATCAAGAAGCATAGATGGAGTCCACTCATCTTTTTTTCAAGGATGCAAGAGATGCTGATTGTGGGAAGCAGAAAGCGACGATACAAGAATCAAACAAATGTCAATTGGAAAAGGACAAAACAAAGGCACCATAAACAGCAATAGCGAAATATCAATAGACCTGGATTTTAGGAAAAATCATTGCCAGAATAAATGGGATCGGAGCGAAGAGCAATTTTCCCATCATAAATGGGATCGGAGCGAACAGCAATTTTCCCAGTAGTATGACTAAAAGGCACAGAACTCTAAAAACTCGTTTGATTCCCGACAAGTTGTGTAAAATATGTCCAAGTCCTCTTTTTTTAGCAATAGCTAGCTAGGTTATTGTTTCCTTCCCCTTCCTTTCTTCCCTGCCCGTGCTTCTGTCTGCTCTTTCCCTGTAACTTCTGAAACATCCGCTGCATCACAATAAGAAACACAAGAAACGAGTAAAAACTTGTTAGAACAACTTGGACACATCAAGATCCATCGGTTCCACCAAATTTAATAAAATAACTGCATTTTAAACTGAAATAGGTACAAAATACAGTGCAATTTGGAAACAAAGAAATTCGGAGATAGATTGTACCATCAGGGCCCCGAGACATCAAAGTAAAAAATAGGTTGTTTAGCTTCTCCATCTTCTTAGCATCCTGTGCCTGGTCTGTCTTGAACTTAAGACACTGGCAGAAAAGGACAAACATTAATATAGAGGCATTGTTGAAAATAGTAAATAGAATTCAGATACCATGGCAATTAAAGTGAAAGCTATTTGTGATCAACTTGTTTCCAACAGCTATGAATTGTGCATAAAGGCAACAAACACTTGAAATTGATTATTGACAGGCCAAAGGCATGCAAATCCAGGAGATACACATTCAAGGGAAAATGAGAAGCTAATATACAGAAGCTTTGCTTTATAATTAAAAGCAAGCATCCATGGGTCCATTTCAATGACAAAACATCATAAACTTATCAGTTTTTTGTAAGCATCCATGGGTCCTCACTCTCACTCTCTCTATCTCTCTCTCTCTCTCACACACACACACACAATGTTAAGGATGGGGAGGGCAGGAAGGGGAGTCAGGCAGTGGGAAAAGGATGCCTGGAATGTGAACAAGAATGCCATGGAAATTAATCATTTGAGAACATAAGAGCTCTTAGTGGGGGGGAATGTCCCTAGGTGCCTTAACTATAAGGGGACCATTTTTCAAATCACTGTCAGCTGTAAAGCGCCCTTCCATTCCAACATCTTCTCTTAGAAAAGAAAGAGCTATAAAAGTCTTTATCATGCTAATGATATGATAAGCACACTAAGTGCATCAAAAGAGAAGTAGTTTGCCAGATAAACATGATATCCCTTAGTTTCTGGTTAACTTTCTCTGAGTATGCTGGTCAAGTGCATGTCTTCCATATTAGTAGAATAACTTCTTCCAAAACTTATCAGCAAGTGCATAGCAAAACCGATATAGGCACATCAAACTCATAAAAAAGGCTGTGAGGTTGCACATACTACTATTTAATTTGAAATAAAAAAGATGCGAATCCTATTGCACTATTCCATTCACCCAAGAGCATTCTTGATCCTAACGTTAGATAAAGCAAGCCTGTCATCATCAGGGCAGCCATGGACTCACCTCAATTAAACTTTGATCTCAAACCAATTACGGGCAGCCTAATCCAACAAACATAGTTGACAACCTCCGAACCCAATCTGATCCATTAAACAATGTAACATCAAAATTACAGTTGACATCAAACTGTAGAAAGAGCCCATTGCTCTGACACTGCTGAGACCAATATCTCACAGCATGGGTTTATAAAGTTCAAACAATGTAACATCAAAATCAGCTTCATGCACATACTTCAATGCTTTTGATGTAGCATGACTCAAGTCATGGCTGAAAACACACTTCTTAATCAAAACTAAACACCACCTTACCAGTCCACTTTTCCCCTCTCAACCATCGATATTATAAGTAATATACATATTTTACATTCATAATCATAAAAAAGACCACAAAATATAAACACCTAGAGTACAGGAACAAGCACCTGCCTAGGAGCCTCCAGGGAGACAGAAAATAGTTCACTGGATCAAGCAAATCCACCCAAGCATTCAAAAAAAGAGAACGCTCACTCATGTGATTTCCTATAAGTAATACGTCAAAAAAATCAAAGCAACGTACAGTCCAACCTAAAAAGAGCTCTCTCCCATTCCATTTACATGCATCTCAAGTTTCCTCGGAAAATATCTTAGGCTTCTTTCTCCAAACTGGTCCACAAAATTACCAATGGATATAGATTAAAATCTACTTTTTTTCACGTGCTAAATGCTTCATTCTAGTAACCAAGCAGGCCACCTATTCCCCAAAGCAATCCAAGTGAATCTTAAATTCATTAAAAGAAAAGCATCCTCATGCAAGAATTAAATCCTATAGAGATCCAAATACAGTCAACTTACAAGATAAATTGCAAATGCAAACAAGCACTCAATTAGACCGCGCAACTAGTTCAAGAATTTGATTGCAATCTCACCAGCCAAGAATGTCATGCATAAAACGGCGAGAGGCCATAAAAACCCCTAAAACACACAGACCGAGAGAGAAAAAGCCCGCATACTTTCCACTCACAGAATTACATTCTAAACCATATACAACTCCTCTCAAAACAAACACTCCGATTCTTATATATTCTAAGCTCAAATCCAGTGCATTCATCATAGAATACTAGCATTGCAATGTTTTATATATAAACTATGGCAAACTCATATATAATATAAGCACAGATTTGAACATTTCAGCTTAAACTAAAACCGATAAGTACCTCTTTGTTGTCGGTGACCTTGAGAACCAACTTGCCATCACAGTGTCTGTACTTCATTACATACCGCGTCTATATCCCATTTTAATACCACAATATAAACACCCACAAAAATAAATAAATAAATAATATAAAATAAGCAACATAAAATAGCACAGTGTTATGGAAAATCCGTATAGTTTGTTAAATAAAGGAGAAAATACAATTAATCATTTCGATCTAAGAAAAATCAGAACGTCTTCCTCGACTACACTACTACGATGCGTTACTAATACGTCAAGCCAAAAAGGGAAATCATGAAATAGGAATAGAAACTGGCTCTGTTTCCTTCAATTTTCTACGCAACAAAACAGAAAGCTATCTAAAGAAAAGCAGGGAGAAAGTAACATACCGAATCGGGATCGGCACGGAACAGTTGCACGGATCGGTCAACGAAGTCGTCCCACGAAGTTATGTAAACCATTGCGTTCACAAAGTAATAAATGGGATGGGAGGAATGTTCAAATGCATTGCTTGTTCCGTAAAAAAATAATGGGGTTTCTAGTTCTTGCTTTCTTCACCGTCTGTTTATCTGATTCTTGAAGGATTCTGAGGACCTGAGGTTACTGATCTATTGCTTTTTTTCAGCAGGTGGCTTTTTGGGGCAATAACACGGCCATTCAAATGGCTGCATTCCCTTTTTCTCTGCAGGCTGTTTACAAGCATTATCACAAGGAAATGAGGAATGTTCGCTGACCTTACAGCACTTCATTATCTTCTTTGGGGACTTTGAATTTCCCTGTTTACAAGCATTATCATAGGGAAATTAACTCAGGAGGTGTTGGCCCTGCTACAAGAGCTTTTACATAATGCAATCAACAAAATGTTGGTAATGGAAACGATATATCTGAATGCCAGTAAGAGAAGTTCCATCTTTGCACTGCGAAGAACCTCGTAACCTGAGCTTCCAGAGAACGATCACCGCCTAAGTGATCGCACTCCATCATCAAGATCTTCATGTTTCTTGCTTTCCATACAAAGTAGATAAGAGCATGCCGAGCTCGCTGAGGCTTCATGAACACGTTACTCGTGAAGAGTAGGTGCTTCTCCCTCTCTCCAATCTTCCCCATAAGGCCCACCAGCTACATTAGTGGCACTGGATGTCCTTGTTAAGGCCGGAGATGGAAGTGCAGTCATTTTTTTTATTTAAAAATATATTTAAATAACATTTTTATAAATATATTAAAATGATTTAAAATTAAAAAAATAATTTTTTATATAATATAGTTTTCTCTGTGTTTCTAAATCGTTATTTAAACGCAAACTCGCACATATTCTAACCCTCTTGCCAAGGAAAAAAAAATTCCTCTCTCTCTCACCAAATCCTTATTCTTCTTCTGGTCTGCAAGCTATTAGCTTATAATTATAATTATTATTATTATTATTATTAAATCTCTCATGATTCGATTTTCCTCTTTAATGGTAGATGAGCATTATGCCTTTTGTATCAAATTGTAAAATTTGGGACAATTTTTGTACTGTTGCTTTATTTTTATTTTTTGATAAAAAAACTATTTGCAAAATTTTCACTTGCCATGATAAATTTATTTTTTATTTTTATGTCCAGCTGTTACTTTATTATACTATTATTTTCTATTTCTTAAAAACTGTTTTCAAATTAAAAATAAAAATAAAAGACAATATGCGATGCTTAACGTGACAACGTGGACATTAATTATTCAGTCGAGCCTCTCTCTCTAAATGTCTATAACATCTCTTCATTAATGGCCCCAATTTACACCCTCATTCCTCGCCGGCCTACCCTTTTCTCTACCCCCACAACTCGCAAGAGAAGCGAAACGGCGTCGTCTTCACAAGCCTCTGCTCTCTGCGCTCTTTCCCGACAAATATCTAGCCATTAAAAAAGGAAATGCCTTCTTTATAGAGATCCAAAAAACCGCCACTCACTCACTCTGTAACAGCGAACCGATCTCTCCTCTCATCTTTCTCAGTGACTTTTCCATCTCAAGCTTCGTACGGTTCCCTCCCAACCACCGCACCTCGTCGACCATCCTCACACGCGCCACCAATATGACATCCACCATCTTCGCCACTCGCCGCCCATGGCGCGAAATAATTGAATTCTCCTCCTTCGCGCGCCCATTGTCCCTCGGCGATACCACAATCCGCATAAAACGGAACCTCTCCTACTTTCGCGTTAATTACACAATGATAATCCTCTCTATCCTCTTCTTAAGTCTCTTATGGCACCCTCTCTCAATGATTGTCTTCTTAATCGTCTTCGTCGCCTGGTTTTACCTTTACTTCTTTCGTGACCAGCCATTGGTGATTTTCCACCGCACGATTGATGATCGTGTGGTGCTTGGTTTGCTCGGTGTCGCTACTCTTGTTGCTTTGATTTTCACACACGTATGGTTAAATGTCTTGGTTTCGCTCTTGATTGGAGCTGCTGTTGTTCTCTTACACGCTGCGTTTAGAAGAAGTGATGACTTGTATTTGGACGAACAAGATTTGCCATCGCCTAGCGCTCAACGCCCAACGGCAAATGTGGCTTCCTCGTTTCCGGATCCGGTTCCATCAGAATCTCATCCTCGGATTCCACCATGTTTTGGTACAGACTGCATATTACCAGGGACACGATTTTACTCGTAAAATGGTATGATTTTACGGGTTAATATATGAAATTGTTCTAAAAACTCGCAAATAAATCAAATCAAGTTAAAATCAGGTGCAATTATTAAGATTAGATGAAATCATGTAAAAATATGGTTCCAGGATCGTTTTAACGATTTCAGTAGAAATAATAAATTGCTATTATCTTTTCATTTATTCATTCATTGAATTTTGAATGTATTGCTGATACTAATGCTGCTGTTATTTCAGTCTTAGATAGAGAGGAATCTCTTTTTTAAGAGAGATAAAAAGAGTAAAGAAGAACCAAAAACAAAAAAGAATACATCTGGTTCGGTTTGAAGTGAGAAATGAGTATGGGTTAGGACATGGTGAACTTTATAGGGAAGCAAACAATGAAGGAGATTCAAAAGCTGTGCTCGATGGTGTTGCTGTTACTGGCTTGGTTGGGATCTTGCGTCAATTAAGCGATCTTGTCGAGTCTCTTCTTCTTCTCTTATTTTTTCTCTTCAGTTTCTATTTTTTTCATTTTTAATTAAAGATGTGATTGCTGTAAAATCCCGAAAAAAAGTTATTTAAAAGAGTTAATTATTTTTTTAAGTAGATATTTTAAAAAAAATTCTACATATTTTTTTATATTTTTAATATCAAATTATTAATTCAAAATAAAACCTATAAATAATAATTACGAATACATTTTAGTATAAATAAATAGTACAACTTTACTAAATACATCTATTTTTATGTTTCCTACAGTGTTATACTAGTTAAATGACCTGCAGCGGATTAATTTTTTAAATAAAATATTATTAAAAAAAGTTAAAATATAAAAATATTAGGTTTTTTTAAAATTATATTTAAAAGTTTTAGATTTAACTTCAACACCAGATCCAAGAGTAATATTTATAATAATATTAAATTTGAAAAACTCAAATTTAAATGGGTCTAGCTGCAATATTAAATCCAATAGTTTTGGATATTAGTTTGACCGTAAAGTTATGTCATAAAAGTATGATATTTAAATAAATTAATTAAAAAGAACATTGTGTCATAAAAGTGTGATATTTAAATAAATTAATTAAAAAGAATAAAACAAAAAAAACAACATGAAGAAAAAAACTAATAAAGAAAAAGAAAAAAATATAAATTAATTGGGTTAAGCTGTCAAATTTGGGATCTACGTCATGAAAGTCTAATGACTAAATAAAAAAAAAATTAACATCATTAAACTAGATAAAAAAGTTAATTAAAAAAAAAAGCATCAACCTTTTCACTGTGAATTGTACTATACAGTCCCGAGTGAAAGATATATATATAAAAAAAACTAAAGGCATCAGCCTTTTCACCGTGTACTGCATACAATATCAAAAGATGAAATAGAAAGAACAAAAGTAATGAGAAAAAAAATAATCTGAATCAATCGAGTTAATCGGTTAATCTTGGGATCCGTGTCATGAAAGTATAATAATTAAACATAAAAAATTTAATATTAAGAAACTAAATTAAAAGAATAATTACAAAACAAAAAAAAACTAAAGGCATTAATTTTTTCACTGTGGATTGCATTGTGCAGTTCACATTAAAAAAACTTAAAAAAGAAAAAAAACAAAACAAAAGCATACGCCACAGGTTATTTTTTTTCCTTGCATAAAAAAATATCAAAAAATGCTAAGATCCAAGAGTGTTGTGTATTTCTACAAAGATATATCCAAGAGTCTTTGGTCTAACTACAACGCTTGACCTAAGAGTAATATTTATAATAATATTAAACTTACATGACTCAAGTTTAAGTGAGTCCGGTTGCAATGCTGGACCCAAGAGCCTTGGATGTGGGTCTAGCTGTAACGTCGTGTCATAAAAGCATCATAATTAAATAGATTAATTAAAAAAACAAAAAAAACAACAAGAAGAAAAAAAACTAACGAAGAAAAAGAAAAAAAATCTGAATTAACTTGGTTGATCCTTCAAACCAGATTAATTTGCCAAACCTTAGATTCGTGTCATGAAAGTTTGATAACTAAATAGAAAAAAAAAATTGACGGGTTAGCCCATGATTAACTGAGTTAACCTGTCAAGTTTGAGATACGTGTCATGAAAGTTTGTTAATTAAATAGAAAGAAATTTAACATTAACAAACTAAACTAAATAAAGAAATTAATTAAAAAAAAGCAAAAAAAATAAAATTTCGGGTTAACTTGTCAAATCATGTTAACCCATCAAACTCAGGATTTATCAACAAACTAAATTAAGCAAAAAAATTATTAAAAGGAAAAAAAACAAAGAAAAAAGAAAAAAACCCATAAAGGCAAAACAAAACAAAAATGAAAACGAATATATATATATATATATATATAATTTTCATAATAATAATAATAATAATTATTACATATAAGTATGATTAAAAGATGTGAGGAAGCTACAATACTTTCCCCACAAAGAAAAAAACTAATGCAAAAAAAAATT